TTCCTTCCTTCCTTCCTTCCTTCCTTTCTCTTGTATATTCGCTTATTTTCTTGTCATTTCTCTCGTTTGCTTGTCTTGCATATTGGTTTGTTTTCTTGTTTATTTATTAGTTTGTGCGTTCGTTTGCTTGTTTGCTTATGTGCTTATTTGCCTGTCGTACCCATAACTATTTATTACCAATTCTCACATACTATTGTTTTTTGTTTTATTTTTTTATCAGGACTATCCAATGCACTAGTCAGCATCTACAAACACGAAGTAATTTTTCTCAGGTTAGTATACCTAACAAAATATAGACATCACAATACACCAGTGTTTTGACATTTAACAAGAACAACAGGTGTCCGATTGTCTCTCCGACTCTTTCTTTAGAGTTGAACATTTCCGGCCTTGCTCCCATACTTTCAGTATTTTTTTATGGGATTAACACTAGACAGTGTTTGTTGTGTTTTCTAGGGATGCTCATGGCCATTCTTGAATTAAGTTCTTCGACGTTTCGACGGTCCTTAGGCCGTCTTTTTCAGGCTGGTTTTCTTGTTGACTGAGTAAAATATTCTTATTAGTATCCCTTTCCACGGTCAAAGGACCGTCGAAAACGTTGGAGAACCGGCTTAATTATTCGAGAATCGCTGAGAACAACCCTAGAAACCACAACAAAAACTGAACATTAAACCAGAGATACTCTATTAGTTTAGGCAACTCGTTAACGGCAAACGTGAAACGCTGAGTTAACAAGCAAAAATTTCTTCACAATTCGAAAAAGRATGGCAAAAAAATCTCAAGTAGTCAATAAATAAAAGTATAGTAAGTGACTTTCGTTGGAAGGCTTGCAAAAGATAAAATGAAATGCATGGAAGCGGAAATGGTCACGCTTGCCGTCGCGTTCCGCGTTCACAAACTAGAGCAACATGTATACATTTTCAATTCGTCTCTTTCGTTGTCTTGAGGCCAAAAGTCGGTGTAACTAGATTTTTAGCTACTTTGCTCCCGAAGAAATTACCAGCGTACACTTTAATGGCTTTTCTGTTAACAGCCAATCGCATGACGCGTAACAATTTAGTTTTGACATTTGATGGGAGTGGCAACAGGTGATGTTTATAAGACCTACTCAGAACGTATTTTTCTACAGCTGAATATCAAGCACGATTTACTTAGCAGTACTTACCTTATAATCCTTCCTTCGTTATATATGTGCAAGAGTTTTATTCTACTTTCTACTCGTCCTATTTGTAATACTGATAAAGTAAAGAATGTATTTATTTGCGGTTTACAGTCTTACAGCACTTTGTTATAAAATTCCTATACAACACTTGTAACAGTTTATTGATCTTAAAAGCGCACAAAAACATCAAGCTAAAGAGACTATTAACATATCGAATTATTAGAATTTAGTATTGTGATATTTGCACTCCAATGTTTTCCTTATCGTCATAGGTAATGATTTTTCGCATTACGACTCTAAACTCGAAAGCTCATGCGACTTTGGGAGTCATCCACAAATATATTTTATACTCTTTTATTTTTTTATTTTTACTCAGTTTGCCTAAAAATCTACGTAAAATACACTTATTTACTTTGTATTGCCAACTTTCTATTAGTCAGTGGAAATAAAACTGAATTGAATTGAATTTACGATAGAAAACAACCCTTCCTTTATAATCAGGTGTGGCAGATTCCCTCATAGCCATATTTAGTCTCCAACTGTTCCTAAACCGTCAACTCACGCGATAACTCAGTAAGGTGGGCCGCTTGGGTCCAGGTCTTGACCTGGTTGTTGATTTGTCCAGTTAAGTACTATAACATACCATCCCAAGTATTGTTTAGGAGGGGACTTCTAGAAAAAACAGTGACCTCAGATTTTTTCTCTCTCGACAATCACAATTGCAGTCAGTTCGAAGTACTGGGTGTTAACAACGCGTTGGCTTGACCTGTTTTCGTCCAATTTAGCGTATTTTTCGGTATTTYTTTAATTATGCTGGTAAAATAGATAAAGCTTATGGACTTAAAAATGGCAAYGTCGTTGATTCAATCGCGTAAAGTCGAAGGAAAAGAAGATACAGATAGATATGATTCGGCTGATGACAGCCTTAGTGACAAAGAAGTTACTGCAAGCATCGTGAAGAATGGTCTTGCGGGGAAAAGGTGAAAAGATATGCATTCAGTAAAAGTCAATGTTAGATTGTAAGAGATTAGGTTTGAAAACCCCTTCATAAAATCTAGATTTCTACTTTAACTAGGATCAGCTCCAAGCACTCTTTGGAAACTATTTTTCGATTCACCACGTTTTAAAGCCAAAGTATTCAAGTTAACATGTTTATTTTTTCTTTCTTATATTCTATTCTCTCTCGTATTCTCTTTTATGTTTCTGATCTCGTAAATTGAAGCTTTAGCGCTGACATTAAGCTACTATAGCTATTGTCTTGATGACATTATTGACATATTTACCCATCAATGCTGTTTACGAATATCAATTGTCTTGAAAAAAATTTCTTTCAAACGTTTGATATGTTTCTTTAGCATTTCATGATGTACTTAATGCCAGTATCGCTATACTGCACGACGAACAACCTATTTTGACAAGTCGTTTTTGAATTAAGACATCTATAAGACTCTATTTTTATGTTGATTTCAAACTTTCTTTCAATTATCGCTCTAAAAATATTTCATTTCATCAGTCTTCAAACACGGTTTTTGTTATTCTGAGTTTCATTTGCGAATCTTACAGCTAGCTACCAATACAAACGTGTTATGTTCTTCCAAGCGTGGTCGTTTTTTTCGCTAGTGCAGGTAGCATGAAATTTTTTACTGGTTCTCTTCACGGTCATTAGGTACCCATCATGCACTGCGTATTCAATCAAGACGCATTCTTATTTGACGTCTGACTTTTTATTTTATTGTTACTTGTTCCCATCTGTAAAGTTTTTTTGTGAAAGTATTTCTTTGTTCTAATTTGACGTCTAACAGGTCTCATCTGGACCAAATGACAAATGAACGAGATGCTCTTAAAGATAACATCGGGAAGATCACAGAAGAGAAGGAAATGTTGATAAAAGAAGCTGAAGACGCGACAAGACAGCTAGAACGAATGCACGAGGGACGATTAAGGTATTATTTATAAGCTTGAACTGTGACTTATTAAGGTAGAACTGACGTCTAATCAAGCCGTTGGTGGTTATGAACTAAGCTTGTCGCGTGGTTATTGTCTGGGAAGCTTTACAGAAAGACTTTAATGTTCAGTGCAAACACGAGCTCAAAATCCCTCAAGCATCCCAAAAGCTATGTTGGCTGATCTATCGAAAGAAGCTGATGAGGAATGGTTTGTTATTGTCAACCAACATGACGTAGCATGCTCCCCAAGAATGGTCACCTTGCTTGGACCCTACAACAGCCGTCGCTGACAGTTTCATATTGTTTTCACGTACAATTTTGATTTAGTTTACAATCTAGAATGTCTTTTTTTTTTT